TGGTAGCCTTGGGACACTCACTTAGGTTTAACAACCTAATTACTAGATTTAACAATGGAAAGCATAAATTTGACTTTAACTGGTATTTATAGAGAAACTAGACTATTTGATTGTTTGATCGTCGCAGAAACTTGAATATTTAAACTTGTAAAAGTTTTAAGGTAGTAAATTGTATTTAATCACTCTTTTATGAATTTATTCTAACCTTTTCAACATGTGATATTCAAAGGATCACATAAATTGGGGAGCTAAATGTGCATGCACTCATTCATATGTGTCCTACATGTAATGATCGGTCGAGCAAAATGAAGATGTGCTCCTCTCTCAGAACAACTAGTTCGAGGGACCTGCTTAGGGGCAGGAAGAAGCTTAAACACTAGAGCACGATAGACTGGGTCAAATCACGACCATCAGGCAGCCATCATTATAATCTTCACACAAGATCTCGCTCTCGAGGTGGCGCAAAATATTGCCCAATATCATCCATCCAACAAAACAAGATTCAACAAGTACATATGCGAAATATGCTTACAAAATCATCATATTTAAAAATACATAATCTCTAACTTAATAAACTTTATATATTAATCATTATATAGATTGATTTCTGCAACATAAAAAACTTGTTAGGAGAATAGAGCATTAAGGGGGTTAATGTTTAATAAAAAACACCATTTATAGGTTGATAAGGATTAACAAAAAATTTAAAACCAGTAAAATGACACAACTAATAAATTAAAAAATGGACCATTCTCCATTTGCTCCATATGCATTTCAACATAGTTGTCACCAAGCAAACAATAAGAAATCTAATACAAATATACAGGACGTGAAAAGAAAAGAAAATTTTTGCAACAAATATATATATATTATATATATATATATATATATATATATATATATATATTACTAGCAATGCTTTGAAAATTGGATCGGACAACGAATCGGAAGGAGAAGTTCACAGTTCGACCGGTCAATCGGGATCAAACCGAATGACATAATAAATAGTAATATTATTAAAAATTATAAAATGAATGAAATTTTTTTCTCTAATACCTCCACTCTACATTCCAATTTTATGTCAAATTAATCAATAATCCCTTAATTAGGTCAATCAACCTCAATTAGCTTATTAAGCATATTTTCCAATCCGCTCTTAGCAGAACTTTGTCATCTCCTATAAAGCCATTTGCAAGAACATAAAAACAACCAAATGTGCAAGAATTAACAAACAAGTAATAAAAATAATGCAATTTAAAAAAATAATGAAAAGTTTTCTTATTAAGGATAGAAAACTTGGCGTTTAGTTTATTTTGACTAGCCCCTGCCTTTCGTTTCTAAAAGGAAGAAACTTACAAACTTCAGAATGAAAGGGAAATCTTATGAAAACAATAAAAATATGAAAGAATAATGCTGGTTTTTAAACCACGGATTACGAAAGCTATTCTAAAATTAATTTAGCAGCACATTTTAACAAAGTGCAGAATCAAAATTTTCTAGAGCTGCTTATTTCAACTAATGGAAAGATAAAACTTGGCATAGCAGTAGTTTGGCAAAAACAAAAAGCTAAAAATTCATAGAAACGACAGGCAGAGGGAGAAAATCGGCTAAGATAAAAACACTCACCTTCTGTGGTGAGTGAATCTCGGTCCCGAAGAAGTGAGAGGAAGAGAGCATATATAGGAGGCGGAGGAGTGTAGCCCGGAGTTGATGAAGGTAAAGGCCTGTGAGAAGGAAGTCGGAGGCGGAAGGTTATAAGGCCGAGATGAGGAACCATCGCCGCCATTGATGCCGAAGGCTTCCTGGTTGAAAGGGATCTCTTGGCTTCGCGAACGAGCAAGAGAATCGAGGAAGAAGATGCGAACCGTCGAATGAATGGTAGGGTTTTTTATTTCTTCTGTTTCATATAAGCTTCCTTGAGCCGTCTGATCTTCAGCGAAAGCTTCAAAATTTTTCTCAGATGAACCAGCCGGTTATCGTAAATCGGGACTGGTTTTACGGTTCGGCGGTCGAACCGCCGGTTTGAACGGTTCCGAGCCGGTTCTATGCAATACTGATTTTGATAAACCGGTCAGTCCGGTCCGGCCTGGTCCGATTTTTAAAGACATGATTACTAGCAAATTCAGAGTAAATAAACTTACCAAAATTGAAACATCTAAAACAGTATTATAAGATTAGATCAAGATAAACAGAACATATCACATCCTTGATTCAAAGGATTTCGTCCATTGATGACATTGTAAAACATAATGCAAAAAGAAAAGTACGCAAGAAAGAAGAAATGCTAAGGCGTCAAAAGCTTATGAGCATAATATTTTCAGTAAGCAATGATTTAAAATCCCTTATAGGCAGCCACTACATGTATTCCTGCTTCAGCTGCTCTGTGAGGTTTACTCTTGCGTCGGCTTCCATTATGCCTGAAGCCATTAGTCGTTGTCTCCTCTAATTTTGATCTATTAATGGTGCCTTTTTCTTCCAACACTGTATCAGAATTTCCCTTTGCTTGCGAGTATCTCTTCCTCTTGTTCGCATTCTCCAGAAAAGTGCTTTTTTCCTCTGTAAAGTCCGGTTTAAAATCACCCCCTTCTTCTTCATTCTTTTCACTTTCCTCCTCGTTGGCTTCATTCTTGGAGGGCTTTTGAGGCCTTCCCCTTCTTTTATGCACAGGAAGTTGTTCTTCATCACTACTATCAGGGTCCCCATGTCTTGATACAATTGCAAGTTTCTTTCCCTTCCCTCTTCCTCTTCCCATTTATATGAAAATCCAATTCAAGGTGATGCTTTTACAGTTTTACTAAGTTTTTCAATCTGCGACAATAAACGGACAAAGAATTATATATCAGAATTATTAAAAAAAAGTAGCAGAGTCCAAAATATGTCAGAAAGCATAGGAACAGAATGTATTTTCTTTAATCTTCTAAATGAAAGTCAAGATCAAAACCACCTTGAGTTTAATTGGACTACCTCAGATCTAAATACAGCAAAAATGGATGACACAATTTCAAATGTTAATCAGTCTTAAACTTTCCACTTCCACAGCTTGCTGAAGAAACTCTCCAAGAATCCAAGACAATTTAAAATAAAAACTTTCTCAAAATACCTTACGGGGGGACAAAGGTTACCTTCTGATGACCGGAGGGCCAATGAAACTTTGGATAGAAGATAAGAAATCCAAATATAATTATTTAGAAAGTAGATGAAGTTATAAAGAAAGGGGAGAAATCTGAAGCAAGCTATAGAATAATATAGAAAAATCGTGAGGGCTTTTCCATCAAACGTTCTAAATAAAATAAAGGCCAACTTATTAATCCTGCAGGAAAACCATGACAAAAAGATAAACAGAAAAACAAACCCACCGAAGACGCAGCTCTGAATCCGATAGGGAAAACAAGATCTTTCAGAAAACCATATAGAAAATCAACACAATAAGAAGGTGAAGAACGATCCCTTTCAAAAACACTTTCCATTCAACACTAGATACTCGAACAAAAGTTCGAAAAAAACCGATTAATCTGCAACTCTTAAACAGGAGAAGAACACAAAAATAATATGAACAAGAAATCGATAAAAACAAATCTGGTTTCGAAGCTGACCTTAAAGACAAACAAACCTCATAAGATAACGCCTCTGGTAATGCATTTCACCAAATCTGATATACAGAAAAGAATAACAGCACAGATGTAATAAAGAAAAAAAAAAGCAATTTTTATGCTTTTGGCGTGAGATACTATTGTGATTTTAGACGAGCTACAAGGTGTCAAGAAACTTTTGCAAGGTTAAAACAAGGATTCCAACGACGATGGAAAGTTTTATCAAATCCATTGAATCCAAGATGGAATTTATGAGAGAGGAAGATGAAGAGGAAGAGAGAGAACAAAGCAGTAGCGGAGGGGAGAAGAGAAGTGAAGCCAGCAAGGAGGAGATATTTCCTTCCTCTGTTTAACTAGAAATAAATCTTTACAGGCTTACACACAAAAATAATGAACAAAATTAATAGATAATGTTTGAGCTGTCATCCAAAATGATAAAGCAATTCTTTTCCCTGGTAATTGAATTGGTAAGGTTTTAAAACTGTTAATTATAATTTTGAGTTTAACAAAATATTACTAGACCAAATTTTATTCAAAAATAAAATCTCACAATTCTATTTCGCTTTAGTTTGTTTTTAATTTAATTTCAAAATAATTCTATTGTCCTTATTAATGGTGTAACGAGCAATTAATATTATTTAAATACAAAACATTTAAAATTTGAAAATTAACAATATTTTCTCGGCACAAATACATTCTATTTAAGTTTTTTTTTATATGTATTTTTAAAGTAATAAGTTTTTTATACGTTTTTATTAACAAAATAATCAAAGCTAATTATTGCAAATGTAAAGATTAATGGCTACATCTCAACCGAGATAATGATAATCTCCTTTCCAAAACAAACAGGAATGCTATAAGCACTAAATTTTAAGAATGTTAGAAATTCTCTAAACTACATTATTTCGGGCTTCATAGTTTTAAAATTATAATTTAGTTTTTAAGTTGATCATTTTATAACAAACTTGGAACTTAGATTTCCTCAACACAAGATTGAATGAATACCCAAAAGGTGCATATTTATCCTGCAATAAATTTTCTTCAAATTCTAAAACTTAGGTGAACACTATGAAGTAGTATCTTAAATGTTAATCTAAAGAACTGCAATGGGATTTACAACTTATAACCCACCAATGGTTTCAGAAAGCCTAACTCTTTTAGACTTATAATCCTACTTAGAAAGGAAAGCTTATTAAACATGTATAATTACTTCGAAACCATGATGTCAAGGTCTCTATATAATGCAAGATAGATTAAACTTATTATTTTAGGAATTGGTGTTCATAACCTAACCACCAAGCTAAGCAATATGAGTAATAAAGAATGTACAATTCTTCTATATAATGCAATATTTTATTTTATAATTTAATTTTTTATCTTGAAGGGCTTTCTATAGTTTATTTTAATTTTTAGATATCATTTCTAATTATTTTTATTTTATTTATTTCTTTCGTAGTAAGAATTTGGATTCTAAAAAAATACAATGTCATAAGAAAATTAGGCCTTCTTGAAATCAAAATTATAAGTTCTAGTATCATAGTTATTTAGTTTCTATCTATAAACTAAGATGTTAATGGGTGGAAATTAGATGTTTTAAAATTTTGATCAAGTGTTGAATTTGGTTGGCTATTTACCTAACTTATATTTTAATTTAAAGTTCCAATCAAATCTTATAATCAAATGACTTTTAATTTAGATTATGGTTTGAGTTTTGCAATCGTTGATTTAGCATTTTCTAATGCAATGAAATGTAAATTATCCTATAAATCAAAATAATAGAAATAAAATATAGGAAAATTGAAATTCTTACTTTTAAAAGTACATGGCTGGTATCTTTTATAGCATTTAGTGTGTGTTAGGCCATGTAGTGCCTCTTTATTGTATTTGTTTGTTATTTCATTTTTAATTTTAATTTGTTTGATTTTTATGGATCACTAGTTTCAATTTCTGTTCTTAGAAATATACAAATTTTATTACAGTCTTTACAAATTTGGGGCTTAAATTTTATTTGATCTTTTAATGAATGTTTTAGATGTACAACATTCATCCTAAGATTTTGAAATAATCACATAAAACATTCTAAATGTTGTAAGGTGTACACCTCAAGCATGATGTTATGTGACGTTTCTTATATGTCATAAGAGTTTGAAATATAATTTTTGTTTAATGTAACTTCAATTTATTTATTTTTTGTTCTCTATAACATTGTGAGATTAAAAAAGTTTTATAAAAACCAATTAGGGTTTAAGGAGACCTCAAATAGACTTTAGAATAATTAAGGATATGCATATTATCCAAAAGAACTTCCTTATTGAATTTGTATGATTCTAAGCTTATTAGGGTTATTCATCAGATAATTAACCTTATATCATTTTTGGTTAAAATAGTATGCAAGACATATAAACATAAACACTTACATGTTATGAAGTTTGAGATTGCATATAATGAAAGTTATTTAAAACATTAGGTTTGAATTTAAGGTTAGGAAAATAGATCTATAGAATCAAACAAAGGTGCTTTTTAATGGCTTGTTCCCTTTCTTCAAGCTTGAAGAATAACGTCTCAAAATGAATCAATGGAGGATCAGTAGAATGGAAGTTTGAAAGTTTTCAAGGCATAGGCTTTTGGTTACCCTTGGATCTTCTCACCTTCAATCTTTGAAGGCCTAGAAAGGGTGGGGAAGTTAAGAAGGATGATCTAGAAGTGAAATGAAAGTAAAGTTTGCTCTTGGAGGAACTTGTTGGGGAAAAAAGCTTGAATGAGTGTTTTTCCCCATTCCAAGTGCTAGGATTTGAATGGAGGGCTGAGATTCTTCAAGGTTTTTTCTTTGATGTTTTCCAAGTGACCCAAGTGGTTAGGGGCGTAGGCTTTGGCCAGGGATGGACAATCCATTATGGAAAGTATTTTTTGGCATTTCATGAAGGGGGTATGACTTGAAGTTGGTTTGGTATGAACTAGGTGTTTGAGTTAGATTTAAGCATCATTAGTAAGGTTATATAGTAGGAAAAGACCAAATGGGATGTAAAGGTTAAAGGGAGGTTATTAGACCTCATCGAACTATCCTAGGCATAATAAGAGGAGGGAGGAATTATTTTAAAAAATGTACCCCTTAAAAATTCACTTTCAAAATGATGTGAAGCTCAAATACACATGTAGAAGTAAATATCATGTATTAAAATAAAATTTATATTTTTGGTCGAAAAAAATATTTTTGTTCCTTTTGATTTTTTAGGTTTTTGTCCTTTATTATTTTCTTGCTCATAGAAAATAATCCACAATTATAACAATATTTTCGTCTAAGATTTTAAGAAAATAATATGCAAGAAATAAAATTGTGCTAAATAAAAACGCGAGTAAAAGAAAAAAGCACACAAAAACTTTATAGTGTTTCAGTCAACCTTGACCTACGTCCACTCTCTATAGTCCTCATCTCTAGATATTTCACTAAACCTTTAGTTCTCTTCATTAGCCCCCAAAGAAAGGAAAATAAGCCCTTATAATAATTACTACTACCAATCCAGTGCGGTGGAGTACCAAAATCTTTTTCACCCTCCTGGTGAGGTACAGAACCGTCTACGCTTTTTTTTCCTAATGTTGAAGACAGAGCACCATGCTTTCCTTTTCACCATTCTGGTGAGGTAGAGAATCTTGAAAACTATTTCACCATCACGGTGAAGGAAGAGTACTTTGCAATCCTTTTCATCCTCATAGTGGGGCAGAAAATTGAAATGTCTTTCACCTTCAAAGTGCGGTGGAGTAGCCAGGCCCTTTGATGCCAAAGGTTCTTCTTCTTTCCAAACATCCCTCAAGACAAATCTTGATGCATAGAAGAAATTAAGTGTAAGTTCGTTGGAGCAACCATGTGAAACTCCCTCTCACACTCCTTTGAATCTCACAAGGATCTTCTCCCTCTCTCATAAACTTCACCTTTCTCTCCTCAGCTCTAGGCTCTCTCTTCAAGATTTCTTTTAGAATAAAATAATCCAATGAATGCCAACAAGACAGTCACAACGTATATTATAAAAGCTTAAAAAAAGGGCTAAAAAAACCCAAAAATTTTAATTGAACTTTCACAGTTCATACAGTATGATAATAGGATTATACATTGACCTATTGTATGATCACTAATTAGTACAGTAAGATCAGTTAAAATTTTTACAGTTTGTACTATGTGATGTAGAGTTTATATATTACCCTTAGAAGATCAATTTTGCATAATAGCACTATACGATTAGTAGTTAGTATGGTGTGATCTATTTAGATCATATTGTATGAATTAATAATAGTATAACACGTTGAGATCAATCGAAATGTAGTTCATCCAAGATGAATCTTGTGTTGACCAAATATTGTCTCTATCGATCATACAATATGATCTAGTTCATATTATATAAATAAAAATTAACCAGATTCAATTAATTAATCACATGATTAAATTAGGCAATATTTTAAGTATTATACTATAAGAATAGAATAAAATTTAAAATTTGCCTAATTTAATAAACAGAGGGGTTTTAGATTATAACATATTTTTTAGTACAATGTTATGTTCATATTATACGATTTGTTATATTTCAAAATTATTTTCTTAGTAAAATAAAATAATTTAATTTAATTTTTATAATAACATATCATACAATATAATCTAAATCATACAATACCATTTATAGAAAAATTAAAATATTTAAATTTATTTTTTCTCCCCCTGTGTGTGTGCATGGTCACCAAGCTAGCATACACCCTTATAGGACTTGACTCAAGAAATAATAAATAAATACCATAGACTCTTTCAACACACCCGATTCTACCCAATCTAAAGCCATGAATTTTCAATGAATATTGCATGATGTATCTAAATTGTTAGAACACACAAACAAAAATGGAATATAATTTCTAAGAGAAATAAAGAGGCAATACATTATATTTTTTTCTTCAAAATAATAAAATCAGTTGCTCGGTTGCAACATGCTGGTAAGGGACTGATGAATGGGTTTGCATGTTTGACCAAATTTGATCATTTAAACATTTTTATTTAATTTGAAAACTTAGATTGGTCAAAAATAGTCAATTTAACTTGGAAATATTATGGAGAGTCCCTTGAGGCTATTTAGATTGAGTATATAAGGTTTGAAGCATTGTGTTTGAAGTTTGAGTTTAGAAATTTATTTTGAATGGGTTTATACCATTTTTACTAGGTTAACATGTTCAAAAGAAGTCTCCCATGGTCTTGACTCATCAAAAGCATGTGTAGGTTTAGATTTAAGGTTTTGATTGATTTGATTTAGATGAATTTGAATATTTGACATAAATTAAAGTTTGTTAGGGATGCTAAGCCTTATGAACTTAGTCCCAAAGCTAATTAAGAAGAGTTAGGT